TTTTAAAAGAAAATAAGCCTATAATTTTAAGCTCAAGTTCGAATTTATTATCTTAATTTAAATAAAAGATAACAATAACTTAGAACTTACAGTTCTGAAAAATGTACTTACCATGATAAAACATCCACTTTAAAATTTTTTGTTCATTTATTGTATGTGAAGGGGTTGCATGTGTGGAAGGCAGAGGGTAACTTGTGGGAGTTGGTTGTTGCCTTTTACCATGTGGGTTTTGGGACTCAAGTCATGAGGCTTAGTGACAAGTATCTTTTATCTGCTGAGCCATTTCACCGACCCAAAATCTCTAAAATTTTGTGTCAGGATAAGGATATAACTCAGTGACAAAGCACTTGCCTAGTATGTACAAGGTGTTGGGTTCCATTTGCAGCATCACAAAAATAAATGAATGAATGAAGTTTTGTGTAATCCAAATAATTTGATTATTCTAACTCTGCACTGACTATGACTTCCCAGTTTTAGTCGTGCTTTACAAAATCTGATTAAACATAACAGTGTGTTCAACTTACTGTGACTTCAAATTTTACTTCATGATTGTGTGCAAAAAAGTAATTAAAGGCATCTGTACTTTAACATCAATGTTATTTTTAAGTGAAAATTTATAATTTCCTTTTGTTTCCTAGATACCTTGGCTCATTAAACAAACTTAATGATCTTAATGAATGCTTTAAAGAATATTTTCTCTCTTATTACAAAGCAGTTCATAACATTTGCTATATAATTTATATATATATATATATATTCCAATATATATATATGCGTTTTGTGTGTGTGTCTTTTTGAGACATGGTCTCATTGTAGACCCAGGTGTCCTGGAACTCACTATGTAGACCAGGATGGCCTCGAACTCACAAAGAAAAGATCTGCCTGCCTCTGCCTCCCAAGCGCCGGGATTAAAAAAATGCGCCACCATGCCCGGCCTATTTTTTTATATTTTATTTATTATTTTTATTTTATGCGTATGGGGGTTTGCCTGCATGTAGGTAGGTGCACCTGTGTCATGGAACGCCTGCAGAGATCAGAAGTGGGTATCTGATCTCCTGGAACTGGAGGTATGGATGGTTCTTAGCCACAATGTGGGTGCTGGGAATTGAACCTGGGTCCTCTGGAAGAGCAGCCAACACTGAGTTGCTCTTGCAGAGGACACAGGTTCAGTTCCCAGCACCCACAGAGCAGCTAACAACCATCTGTAACTCCAGTTCCAAAGGATCTGATTCCCTCTTCTAACCTCATGGACACTGCACGACACAGGTACAATTACAAACATGCAGCCAATACACTCATACATGCAAAATAAAAATACAAATAAAATATTAAAAAACAAAACAAAAAGGTGGATAGCGGTAAAAGATACCTGATGTCTTCCTCTGGCCTCTACTTGCACATGCGTATTCAAATATAACACATACACACATATACATTATGTTTATGTTGAGTCTGGTTGGAAAACACACCAAAACCATCTTCACTTTAGTAGCTACCATTCCTGAAGTGTGCGTGTGTGTGTGTGTGTGTGTGTGTTTGAATTTATTTATTTATCTATCTATTTATTTTTAGTATGTGTAAGTGTATGCCACAGTGTACTTGTGCAAGTCAGAAGACAACTTACAGAAGTCAGTTCTCTACTTTTACCATATGGGTTCTGGAGAGTGATCTCAGGTGGTCAGGCTTGGTGAGAAGTGCCTTTACCTGCTGAGTTATTAGGAGTACCTTACTCTGATGTCTCCTTTCAGTAATTTTTCTACTGATCACCTCTCCCTTTTTCTTGGCTATACATGATGACTTATGCCTAAAATCCCAGCACTTAGGTGGCTGAGGCAAGAAGATCATGAGTTCAAAGACTTGAGCCTTCTAGGCATGGTGGCACAAGACTTTAACCCCAGCACTCAGGAGGCAGAGGCAGAGGCAGAGGCAGGCAGATCTCTGTGAGATCAAGACCAGCCTGGTCTATATAGCAAGTTGTAGGCCAACTGGGGCTATAGGAAGACCCTTTCTAAAAAAGACATAAAAAGAAAAAGAGAAAAAGAAAAAGACTTGAGCCTGAGCCAGGCATGTTGGCTTACCCCTGTTACTCCAGCATTCAGGAGGAAGAGGCAGTAGTATCACTGCAAATTCCCTATCAGCCTGGTCTACACAGCAAGTTTCATGCTAGCCAGGGTTACTACATACTAAGTCTCTGTCTCAAAATAGTAAGTTAAATCAAGCCTGATCTTTTTTCCCTACTACAGTAAGAGTACTGCAAACATCCTATATAATGTATTCATGATTTAACAAGGGTTAGAATAATTTTTTTTTTTCGGTAAAATAAGGCATTCAAGAAAAGCAGGCACACTCTTAGTATTACAGGAAAAATAACTCACTACTATTATGGTTTGAATCTGAAACGTTACCAGAAGATTCATGTATTAAAGGCTTGACTGCCAGTTAGGTGCTCTCAGAAGTGATTAGATCATGAAAACTAACTTCACCAATGGATTCATTAAAGACCTGACATATCATAACTTGAGGACTTTACTAGGAAGTATTAGAAACTAGGCAGTGAGGCTTGGTTAGAGGAAAAAGGTCATTTGAGGTGAGGTGTGTCTTTGAAGGGTAGACCTTGTCCCTGGCCCCTTTGGCTTGTTCTTTACTTCTTTCCCACCATGAGGTGAGAAGCCTCCTTTACCACATACTTCCACTTTCATGATGTCCTGTCTTGCCAAGGCTGATAAGCAATGCAGCCACCTGACCATGGACTGAAACCTCTGGAACCATGTTTTGTTACAGAGACTAATATCAACTAACAACTATTCAATCACAATTGAAAATAAACTTGTGGGGCCAGGTGTAGTGATGCACACCTTTAATCAGGAGGCAGAGGCAGGTGGATCTCTGTGAATTCAAGGCCAGCCTGGTCTACATAGTGAGTTCCAGGTCAGCTGGGGCTACAGGAAGACCCTGTCTCCAAAAAATAAAATAAAATAAAATTGCAACATTAATGATACCTTAAATATTAAGTTAGATAGAGCTTGCCACAAATATAAAAATGTTCCTTCAATTTTTTATGCAAAAGAAAAAACATTGATGGACTCTGCTACCCAAAACAAAGATGATAGTGAAAATGACAAGAATTAAGATAATTTCCTGTTCTTGCTAGAATTTATTAGTCAGAACTGATAGCAACAGAATGAAAATGGGAAAAAGCAACTGGTGTGTAAGTGAAAGCCAAGTTATAAGATACATAAAGGAATAGATACAAACACCATCTGACATCTTATATTTAGTGAAAAAATACTTAAGACTGGCACCCTCATCCTGAAAGAATCCTATGATTTACAACATGTACAACAAATAGATTGCTACAAATAATCACAGGGTAAAAGTGATAAATTCATTGAAGGGCACAAATGAGCTGTTATGAAAATTCAGAGGAAGGAGAGACAGGCTTCTGATAAGACTGCCATAAAAGGTTTCATTTAAAAGAGAGGGGCTGGTTAGGGAGATAGCTGAGTTGGTAATGTTCTTGTCTCAAAAGCAGGAAAGCCCAAGTTCAGCCCCACAACCCACATAAAAAAGTCAGGCATGGTGGTATGCACTTGTTATCTCAGCACTGAGGAGGAGCAGACAGGTGGATGGATTCTTGGGGCTTGCTGGCCAGCTGGCCTAGTCTACTGGTAAGCTCTAGGTAAATGAAGACCCTGTCACTAAAAAGGAAAAGAAAGGAAAAAGGAAAAGGGAAAAACAGGTGAATATCTTTTGAGGAACAACACCTGAGGCTGACCTCTGGACTTCACACATATAAGCACATACATGCATGTGTATGTGTGCACCGTAGACACATACACACGCACACACACATATGCATGGCATATGATTTAAGTCTTCAAGATTAAGCAAATTTTAATAGGCAGAAGCAGAAGTAAAAGTATTTTAGAGTCAGGAAATAGCAAAATCAGAATGCATTTTTACTATTGGAAAGAACAATATTAAAGTTAATAGTTAAGACAAAGTAATTCAATAGCACCTCCCAAAAATTCATGGCCACCAGGAACTTCAGAATGGTGGTTATATTTGCAAACAGGGTCTTTGAAGAAGACCTAATAATGAATTTAGGAACCTGAAATAAAATTCTGAATTTGGGGAACTGGAGAGACGGCTCAGTGGTTAAGAGCACTGGCTGCTCTTGCAGAGGACTCAGGTTCGATTCCCAGCACCCACATGGAGGCTATGAATTGTCCTTAACTCCAGTTCCAGGGGAATCCAAAGCCCTCTTATGACCTCCGTGGCATTGTACAACATGGGTGTACTCACATACATGCAGGCAATACACTCATACACATAAAATAAAAATAATAAAAATAAATATTTTAAAATTCTGAATTTGGGCTCGGTCCTAAATCCAATGGCCCATATCCTTGTAAATAAAAGAAAAAACAAAGAAAACTGGGCATGGTAACACACGCCTGTAATCCCAGCACTTGGGAAGTAGAGTTAAGAGAATCTTGAGTTCATGATCATTCTCAGAGGCACAACAAGTTTGAGGTCAGTCTGGAGTAGGTGAGACCCTGTCTCAAAAAACCAAAAAAGAAAAAAAAAAGAACACAGACACACAGAGAAGGCATGTAAAAACAGACACAGAGAATGAAGTCATGCTGCCATAAGCCAAGGAATGCTTGGGATCACTAAAAGCAGGAAAAAGCAAGAATGAGTTCTTCCTCCAGAGGGAACAAAAACTCTGTTAATGCCTCCTTTTCAGTCACTAGAACTTTGATACTAAATGTCTCTTATCTTAATTTATGAATTGTGGAAATTTGTGGTAGCAGCTCAGGACACTAACATAGCTTCATTAGGATGATTAGCAGTGGGCTGCTCTAGCATCTCATTTGATTATGTATTGAAAGAAAAAAGCACTGACAGAAAAAGTTTCATCTTTCTAAGCATATGCTGGTATTATCAGGCAATTATATGAAAAGGTGAACAGAAAACAATGAAGTGTCATTACTTACAATGTGTGACTCCAGCCAGAGTTTGGTAGAAAGTAGGAGTATCACTGTCATCAGTGAGGGTAACATACACGCCTCCAGATAGCAGCCAGCGAGAGAAAGTAAAAGCATCTTTGTTTAAAAGAAGCCAATTTCTAAATTTTTCATAGTTCACCTTTTCACCCTAAAATTAAAGCAAGAAAACACAAATTTAGTCAAACTTTTGGGCATTGTACTTAGAACCTGCATAACTTGAAACTTATTTACCTTTCTACTATCTAAAAATGATTAAGTAATACTACAAGACACATGAACCTGAAAATCAAACTGGTTTTTGTTTTGTTTGAGTTAAGTCCAGCTCACCTGAAATTCACTATGTAGACCAGGCTGGCCTTGAACTCTCAGAGATCCACCTGCCTCTGCCTATGAGTGCTGGGATCACACTCAATCCAAATCAGTTTTTAAAAAATAGCTGCCTTCCAGTTAGAATCAATGTGCTAACAGCAAGCTATTATCAACTCATCAAAGCAGTCAATTGCCAACAATAAAGTATATTTGTCAAGGGATATCTTGACCATATATCCTAAGGTAGGCTGTATTTCCTTCAATCGTTAATAAACTCAATTTTTCACTTATCCCCATCTTTAGCATTTTACAATCTAAGTTAGCATATTTAAACAAAATTTTTCTGTAATTAAAACTCTTTTTTTTTGGTCTTTTTGAGAGAGGGTCTCCCTGTAGCCCCAGCTGGCCTGGAACTCACTACATAGACCAGGCTCTCCCTGTAGCCCCAGCTGGCCTGGAACTCACTATGTAGACCAGGCTGGCCTTGAACTCACAGAGATCCACCTGACTCTGCTTCCCAAGTGCTGGGACTAAAGGTGTGTACCCCCATGCTTTCTTTTTTTAAAAAAATTTCCTATTTTGAAAATGTCAGATAACTATACAATGAAATATGATCATACCTTCCCCCTTCTTCCCCTCCCCAACTCTTCCACAGACTCTCAACATGCCCCCACTCCCAACTTCATATCTTTTACAATTTCTAGAGAAAAAAATAATAATAACTATCCAGGCTGGAAAAAAGCATCACACTGCTGCCTGGGTCAATTCCTTTGCTTGTCTAAGCCCCTTTTGTCTTGTCTTGTCTGTCCAAACAAAAGCTCTTAAGTTTGGTGAGGCAGATATTTCTGTGAGTAAAAAGAAAGGACTCATAATTGGGAATACAACAGAAACTGACATTTAGAAGGCGCACAACTCTAATCCTAATAGAAATATTAAAGGGTGTAAATAGTGAGATAAATATATATTGAAGAAACAATTTCTACATGGTTTAGGATCCCACTAAGTTTCAACAACATGGTTGGCCTAGTAGTTCGAGAACACTTAACATGAGTACTATGCAAACAATCAAGTCAACATCAATAATCTTGTTTCAGACTTGAGGCTGGGACTAAGAAGACACTGAAAACATGTTAGAGATGAAAGATCTATCCATATTCCTAGGATGTTGAGATAAATTTTAAAAATAATAGCATCCAAAATAAATAAATAAATAGCATCCAGCCCTCAGGAGGCAGAGGCAGGTGGATATGTGTGAGAGCTTCCAGGTAGGCTGTGACTAGGGAGACCCTATCAAAATGGCAAAAAACAAACAACAGAAAACAAAACAAACAAATATATATATATGGCATCCTTCAATTACAACTAGCTTTTCTCCTAGTAGTTATGATTTTGTAAAACTTGTTTGGCTTTCTTCCACATTCCCTAGCATACAACTCTTAAAAATCCTTGAAATCTATCAAGTAAGTATCTCTTTGTATGTTTCTAGGTTGCATGATAGTTCATAGCCTCTAGGTAGCTTCATGATGGTTACAGAGTGGTTACCCAAAGACTAATGATTGCAGGTTTGATAGTGCGGTGATTTGAATGAGAAGTGTCACCCACAAGCTCAAGTATTTGAACATTTGGTCACCAAATGTGGTGATGTTTGAGGGAATCATAGAACTTTTAGGTGTGGCATTGCTACAGGAAGCATGTCACTGGAAGCTGGCTTTGAGGGTTCATAGACTTGCCCCGCTTCCAGTCTGCACTCTCTGCTTCCCGTTCGTTGTTGAAGATGTGAGCTCTCAGCTTCCTGCTCCTGCTGCCATGCCTGCCTCTTGCCACCATGCTTCATACCATGATGTACTCTTATCCAGCTGTAACCATAAGCCAAAAAAACTCTTTCTTTTACAAGTTGCCATGGTCACAGTATTTTGTCACAGTGAAAGAAAAGTAATATAAAAGTTGGTAACAAGCCGGGCATGGTGGTGCATGCCTTTAATGCCAGCATGTGGGAGACAGAGGCAGGCGGATCTCTGTGAGTCCAAGGCCAGCCTGATCTACATAGTGAGTTCCAGACCAGCTAGGGCTACAGGGAAAACCTGTCTCAAAAAGACCAAAAAAAAAAATAAAAATTTGGTAACAAAGAGTGGGCTGCTGCTATGAAGAAACTGACTATGATGATGTCTTCTAGGGGAATATGAAAGACTTGGAACTCTAGCCTAGAAAAGCAGTTGAATGCTGTAAGGAGAGCTTAACAGGTGGTTCTGATAGGCGTATGGAAGACAGTAGTGCTGAGAATAATATGTAGAAGCTCAGATCTAGCTTAAGAGAACTTGCCTGAGGCTAAATTAAAAGGTAATGCACTAATTTCTTTGGCAGAGGAAATTTCAAGACAACATAATGTTGAGTCTGTAGCTTTGTTATTAATGGTTATACTTATGCAGTCTGTAATGAAAAAGAACAAATGGGACAGAAAAAAATACAAACTGTACTGTTTAGAGAAAAAAGGGGTGCTAGGAAGCTTAATGCTGCACCCAAGGCAAGTGCTGGAAGAAAGGCTGTAACTGTTAAGGATTTTAATGTCATTGAGGAGAGCCTCTAGCTGGAACAACAGGAAAGGTGCCCTCAGAGTAAGGCCCCACCCAGCTAAGTTTCCAGCTTAGGAAAATGAGAGCCTAAGGAGTTTTCTGCTCCTTGAAAGCAATTGTTACAACATACAAAAGCTTCTGATAATGTGCTTAATCCCAAGACAGGGACCATCTCAAGCTGGTAGCTGAACTTGGCAGTGCTGTCTATATGGTACTTGTTTTAGATGAGTGAAAGATTTGAGAGTGAAAAGGTAACTTCTTCTGTGGCTTCAGAGAGCCACTGAGGCCAGGCAATGCATGGGAGAAAGTTCCTGTAAGAAGGCCTCGAGAGGCCACTATATGAAGCTGTAAAAATGAAGCTGGGGGTTGTAGTGGAGACCCCAAGATGTTGGAGACACCAGAACCATGACCACCTGCCAAGGACCGCTGCACACAGGAGTGGAATCAGTCCAAGAGAAAGATATATGTTGTAGGCAGCAAAGCTGGAAGAATGGAGTCAACCAAGTCCTTTAGAACTAAAGTTCCAGACACTAGACATGGAGCTAAAAGATTTGATGTTTTCCCTGCTGGTTTTCAATCCTGCTTTGGTCTCACCATGCCCCATTTCTCCTTTTTGGAATGAGATTGTATATTCTGTGCCATTGTATGTTGTTGGAAGTATGTGATTTATTATAATTAATTAATTAATTAATTAACTTATTTTTGGTCTTTTTGAGACAGGGTTTCCCTGTAGCCACAACTGGCCTGGATTTGCTATGGAGACCAGGCTGGCCTCAAACTTACAGAGATTCACCTGCCTCCCTCCCAAGAATGGTAAGAGTAGTTCTGACATATAAGTGGCATGATTGGACTACATGAACACTCATAACCCACTGTTCTAAACCCAAAAGAGAGTCAGAATTGATTATTAATGACCCAGCTTCCTTAAATCGGCTCAGGTGACAAATGGATGAATCACACTCTGTTTTTTTTTTTTTTTTTTTTTTTATGGGGGTTACAGTTAAAAGATTGCCTTAACTAAGCCTCAAAAGAGACTTTGGATTTGGACTTTTGAATACTGGTGAGAATGTGAAAGATTATGTGGACTTTTAAAGTTGGACTAAATATATTTTGCAATATAATATGGTCATGAGCCTATGGGGGAGGCTAGGGAGTAGAGTGTGGTGGTTTGAATGAAAATATTCCCCATAGGCTCCAAGTATTTGAACACTTTGTCCTGTTAGCGTCACTATTTGGGAGGCCATGAAATCTTTAGGTGGTATAACATTGCTTGAGGAAGTGAGTCACTGGGGGCAGGCTTTGAGAGTTCATAGTCTTGACCAACTTCAGTTCACTCTCTCTGCTTTGTGTCTGTGACTCTCAGTTTCCTGCTCCTGTTGCTATGCCTGCCCCTAGCTGACATGCCTGCTCACCATAGTGGACTCATCCCTCTGAAAGAGTAAGCCAAAATAAGCCTACCCTTTCTTCTAAAAGTTGTCTTGGTCATGGCATTTTATCACAGCAATAAAAAAGTAACTAATACAGATAGCAATGATTACTTTCAATCCCATCTCCCAAACACTGGAGAACAGAGGAAGCTAAAGGTTGAGTTGATGACCAATGGTCATTTAATCAATCACAACTACATAATAAAACTTTTATAAAACCCCAAAAGGGGGTTGGAGAGATGGATCAGTGGGTTAAAGACACTTGCTCTGCAAACATGAGGAACTGAGTTCAAATCCTCAGCACCCATGTTACAAAGTGAGTATGACTCAGCATTGGGGGAAGAGAAATGGGCAGATCTCACTCAAATGGCAAGCTTCAGTGAGAGAACCTGTCTAAGGCAGTAAGTCAGAGAGTGATTGATGAAGACACCTTACTTCCTGCTCTGGCCTCTGCATACTCACATACATCCACCACATACAACAACAGAAAAAATAAGAGCACATCTGCAATACCAGAATCTTGAGAGGCTGAGGCAGAAGCATTAATTGAGCATGAAAGTTGAAGACCAGCCTGGGCAACACAAAGAGACACTGAAACAAAACAAAACAAAACAAAAACGACTGGAATCTAGGATCTTACAGACAACTGTAGATATGAAGGTAGTGAGAAAGAACACACAGGGAGAGGACAAATGCTCTATGCTCCTTCCCACATATCTTGCCCCATGTATCTCTTCTATTTAGCTGTTTATCTGTATCCTACTATATGTTTTATAATAAACTGGAAATATTATGGCTTCCCAGTATTCTGTGAGCTATCCTAGCAAACTAATTAAACCTGAGGGGGGTTGATTGTAGGAACTTCAAACTACAGTGAATTATTCACAAGTACTTGGGAATGGCATCTGAAGTAGTAGTCTCTGGAGATGGTGTTAGAATTGAAAAGAACAAGAAGATACCCAGCTGGTATTTGTTGTTGGTAGGGAACCACTTATCTTTGGTGACAAGAGTCACTAAGGTGATCTGTATTGTGAAAGTAAGAAAAGAAAAACTGCTTTTTTAAAAATATTTTGAGACAAGGTCTTACTCTGTAAGTCTAGGCTGTCCTGGAACTCACTATGAAGTCCAGGCTGGCCTCAAATTCTCAGTGATCCTCCTGCTTTAGCCTCCTAACACAGATTACAGGCCTGAGCTACCACACTAGGCAAATCAAACGTCTCTTGATAACTTCCTAAATCTTCTCCAACAGTCTTAACCATTTCAGTTAACAGGAACTCTAAATATTTATTCAAATCAGGCTTTCTCTGTGCCAGCCTGTAACCAAAACAAGAAAAGATTCTGTTACGTCCACCCTCAAAATAAAGATGGTTCAGAAGGTAAAGACACTTGCTGTGCAAGCCTAGAGACCTGAATTTGATCCCCAGAAGGAGAGAATCAACTCCACAAAGTGGTTCCTTAACTTCTACATGTACACTGTGGCATACACACATATATCATATACATACACAATAATATTTTTTAAAAGGTATAGATTTTCAAAACTTCTTACTAGCTAACTGCTACACATGATCTAAACGATCATTACCTTTTACTAGGACTGCAGTCTAGGCTACATAAGACCTTGTCTTAAAAAACCAAAGAAAGACATCTTGCTAGTGTGGTGGGTACGCCTGTAATTCCAGTTACTCTCAGCAAACTAAGAAGAAGGCAAGAGGAGAGTTAAGTTCAAGGCCTGCCTAGACTGCATAGGAAGTTGAATGTCAAACTGAGCAATTTAGTGAGACCCTGTCTCAAAATAAAAATGAAAAAGGGCTAGGGATGTAGCTCAATGGTAGTGTGCTTACCTAGCATATGCAAGGCCCTTTGTTCAATTCCTAGTACTGTAAATTTTTTTCAAAAGTGTGTGAGTGTGTGTTGTGTACGCGGGGGAGGAGAAGTATCTGATATCTCATTTCCCCAAACCCTCGAAGGGTTTCTATCTCACTCAGGGTAAATATCAAAAGATTCACATCATAACCCATATTTCACTCCCCAATAATCTCAGTTTCCAACTATTCCCTTGCTCATTCCATTCCAACTAAATTGACTTAGTCATTGCTTCTTAGCCATGCAAAGCACACTTCCACTTCAGGGTCTTTGCTGCATATTCTCTTCACGGAAGGTAAATATTATCATGGTTTTATCCTTCTTTCTGTAAATTCTTTGAATTTCACTTTATCTGACAGAATTTCCTAATGATCCTATAGGAAACAGAAATACTCAGCTCTTTCCTTTCCATTACCACTTACTTATCTTATTCTAATTTCCTTATAGCACTAATTACCACCTAATGCATATATATGCCTGCTACTGTCAATAATTTTAGGGAACAAGGTGGCTAACCACATCTAGTTTCCATCACCAAAGTAGGAATTTCTACTTGTCTTATTAAAATGTAAAACTCTACACTTTCCCTGAAAAAAGAGCAGAGTATTAATCAGATTTGCAAAGATGATTTTTTTCCTGACCAGCAAATTTTTGTTATGGATGGGAAAGAAGGAAGGAAGAAAAAACAGAAACTAAAACACATTATAACTTTTTTTTTTTTTTTTTAAAGCAGGGTCTCTCTGTAGCCCCAGTTGGTCTGAATTCTCTATGTAGACCAGGCTGGCCTTGACCTCAGAGATCTGCCTGCCTCAGCCTCTGCCTCTAGAGTGCTGGGATTAAAGGCATGTGTGACCACACCCTGCCTAACAGCAGATTTAAGTATGGCAGAACCAAAATGTAGGAAGTCTATTCCTTTGTACCTAACACATGGAAATGTTGGTTAAAGCTAGTGTAGTGCTATATACCTATAATCTCTGTAGTATGCAGTATTATCTATATATGTGTGGGCATGCACATCATAATCTAAGTATAAATAATTGCCTTTACAGTAAACTGAGAATTCTTGAATTAAAAATATAGCAGGGTAATAGGAGATATAAACTCTTAATTTCATTTTATGAGATAGATCTTCCTAATCATCTTAAATAAAGTAACATGCAGCTGGCTCCTCCCCATCACCACCTAATGCCATTATTCTGCTATTTTTTCTATAATACCAATTATTAGATGATATATGTGCTCTTTTTTGAGCATAGCACATAGAATTCAAACAATCATTACGTACATAAATGCCAAGAACCATCTGCACATAAGCCTCCATCACAGTTACATTTTTTTACACCACAGTTAATACTTCATCAATGATAAGGGGTGAATGTACATCTTCAAACATACCTCTGAGAAACACTTCTTGAGTGTATCTGGGACTTTACCATCCACCACGTGGAGCATTCTTTCCATTTCTTCCCGTATAATATAGCTCCCAGATTCACTTGAAAAAAGACTAAAAATATCTAGGAGAAAGAAAAAATAATCTTAACCATATGTCCAGTATTCTTTAGTAGGGAGAGAAGGGAAATGTACTAATAATTGAGTAACAATTAGAGGCAAGCACTTTATAAATATAACATTATTATATGTATTATTATTATTATTATTATTATTATTATTATTGTTTTCCTTTCTTTGAGATAGGGTCTTGCTATGTAGCCCTGGCTGGGCAAGTACATCAATGTAGCCCAGGCCAGACTTGAACTCACAATATTTCTGCCTCTGCCTCCTGAGTACTGAGTACTGAGTGTGCTACCATGCCTGTCTCTCTAATTTACTCTTCAAAATAACCATGTGATATTTGTTCAAACATAACAAACTTATAAAATGTTTACATGTGATAACAGGAAGTGTTAACAAAGGCTGGGAGAAAGAGATCTTACACAAGGTTAATGACTACATACATATATGTACTCATTCTCAAGAGTAATTTGCCAAAATCTAGGAAAGGTATTACCAGAAACCCCACTTCTATACAATTCTACTTGTACCCTTAAGAAACTGATACTTGTACACAAATAGATGTTCACTATTATAAGAGCAAAAATTACACAGAAAATTGATACTAAAATTAGGCATGGGGTATACTCCCAGTACTTGAGAGGTTAAGGCAGGAAAATTAGAAGTCTGAGGCTGCCCTGGGCTACAAAGTAAAATAAGTCACCTTCCTTCTGTACAATCCTGAGGGTATTGCAAATGATTCTTCTCATAGAATGTAATTCACATCTGGCAGACTGCAAGAGATTACTGCTTTGTAGGTATTAACCAATTTTGTATCTATTAAGCAAATTCACTTCGGCTTTTCTGATGGACTTATGTATTTCACTGTTCACTGGATTCTCTTCTGAGCCAGCTGTAACATTTACCTGTCTCCCTGTAGCCCCAGCTGTCCTGTAACTCACTATGTGGACCAGGCTGGCCTTGAATTCACAGAGATCCACCTGCCTCTGCCTCCCGAGTGCTGGTACTAAAGGCGTGCGCCACCACGCCCAGCATCTGTCTCTTATTAATGAATTAAATAAAATTTTAACAAAAAGGAGCAAAAATTAGAAAAAAGATAAATATTTGTCAAGAAAAAAATCATAAAGCCAGGTGTGATGGTACACACCTTTAGTCTCAGCACACAGGAGGCAGAGGCAGGCAGATCTCTGTGAGACCTAGACCAGTCTGGTCTACATAGTAAGTTCCAGGCCAGCTGGGACTACAAGGAGATCCTGTCTCAAACCTCCCTGCCATCCCCCAAAACAGAAATATGACACAAGGTAAAAAGCAAAGTACAAAATAAACTGTACACTATTTAAAAGCTTTAAAACCTGCAAAACAGTTGAAGATATGTTTAAGATATAGAAAATGAATATATAAAATATGCAAAAAGTAAGGAAGATCATCAAATTCATGAGATTATTAATCTCTGAGAAGGTCAGAAGTGGGATTTTGGAAGAATATAAAAAAAACTTCATCTTGCTGGGCCTGGTAGTGCACACCTTTTGTCCCAGCACTGGGGAGGCAGAGATAGGCAGATCTCTGTGAGTTCAAGGCCAGCCTGGTCCACATAGTGAGTTCCAGGTCAGCTGGGGCTACAGGGAGATCCTGTCTCAAAAAGACCAAACAATCAAAAAAACAAAACGAAGCAAAAAAAAAACTTCATCTCAATTATTTTTTTTTGTTCTTGTTGCTTTAAGAAGACGATATCATATACCTCCAATTCACTATGTACCTGAGGATAACCTTGAACTCTGGATCCCACTGGCTCTGCCTCCCAAGTGCTGAAATTATAGCATGTACCACCATACAAGGTATAATATTTCCTTTTTTTTTAAAAGTCTTTTCGAGAGGGGGGTCTCCCTGTAGCCCCAGCTGGCTTGGAACTCACTATGTAGACCAGGCTGGCCTTGAACTCACATAGATCCACCTGCCTCTGCCTCCCCAGTGCTGGGATTAAAGGCGTGCACCACCACGCCCTGCAGAATTTCCTTTTTTAAACATCAGGATCTGGGATGCCTATGACATAATTTTAAGAAATAATAAAGCTGAATGGAACTATATAACATATGTATTATTCAAATATTGTTGTTATGGCTTGAACTGTATCCCATAAATGTATACTGTAGTTCTAGTCTTCTTGGGGAGACTAGACAAGGGGGTTGTTCCCAGGACCCTTCAAGGATTCCAAAACAACTTAAACACCAAAATGGCATAGTATTTACATATAATTTATGTATATCAGACTCCCTCCTTTTGTGCTGTTGGGAATTGTGCTGGATAGCTTTAGTGTCAACTTGACACACCTGGGTTGAGGGAGCCTCAATCGGGGAATTGCCTCTATTGGACTGGCCTGTGGCCATGTCTGAAGGGCATCTTTTGATGAGTGATGTGGGAGGGCCCAGCCCACTGTGGGTGGTGCCACCCCTGGGCAGGTGGGCCTGTGTTGTATAAGAAAGCCAGCTGAGCAGGGGCCAAGGGAGCAAGCCAGTAAGCAGTGTTCCTCCAGCTCCGGCCTCCAGGTTCCTACCCTGAGTTCCTTCCTTGGGCTCCCTGATGAACTGCAACCTGGGAGATGTAAGCTAAATAAACCCTTTCCTCCCTCAAGTTGGTATTGGTCAGAGTATTTTGTCACAGCAATGAAGAAACAAACCAGGACAGGAATCAAAACCAAGGGCCTTATATTTGCTAAGCAAGTACTCCACCACTAAGCTACATCCCCAGTCCTATTTTATTTCTGTTGTGCTTTCTGTGTTTTATTGCTGTTTGTCTTTAGAAAAAGGCTCTACTATGTAGCCCAGGCTGGGCCTCTGATAAGCCATTCTCATGCCTCTGTCTCCCCAGTAATAGAATCATAGGAATGAGACATAACTGTGCCTGGTTAGTCCTTTATACTTTTAAGTCCTCTCTAGCCAGGCAAAGGTAGAAGGCTGAGGCTAGAGAATCACAGGCTTGTCTGGGCTGTTGGGTGAATTCAAGGCCAGTGTGGGTACTTAGCAAGACTATCTTTAAAAAAAAAAAAAAAAAAAAGCCTCACCTTAGTCACAATGTTTTTTTTTTCTCTTTTCTTCTTTTTCGTAAGCCCTGGATTACTGACAATATCTAATACAATGTAAATACTATATAGTTGAATGATAAGAAAAAACTATACATTTTTAGTATAGACTTTTTTTTTTTTTCCCCCTGACAGAAAGCGTTAGTTATATACCTCAGGATGGCTTGGAATATGTAAGCCAGATGGGTCTTGAACTTGTGATCCTCCTGCCTCAGTCTCCAAAGAAATGGGATTGTAGGTATGTACCATTATATGAGACTTTTTTTTTTTTTTTTTTTTTTTTTTGGTAGCCCCAGCTGTCCTGGAACTCACTATGGAGACCAGGCTGGCCTTGAACTCAGAGATCCACCTGCCTCTGCCTCCAAAGGTATGTGCCACCATGCCCGGCTGAGGCTTTTTATTTTTTTAAGCTCAAGGATAATTTTATTACAGAATTCCGAGGCAGGCAAGCTGTAAATCTCAGCAGCTGCCCAGAGGAGGAGAATGGAGGAGAGAAAGAAAAAAAGCCATGTCATTTGAGTAGTACGGAGGTTGGCAACATGGAAGCATGCAGCCACATGGCAGGCAGTGAGGCATTAGTAAAAGAGTAAAGAAGCTCAAAGTATCACAAAAATTATACTTACTTGTTAGCACTGGAAAGAAAGAGACAGAAATAATAAAAAGGAAAAGACGTACAGATCCAACGAACCTCACGGCAACCTCATGTAGGGACTGCCTATACTGGGCTTTTTCTAACTATTTTTGATTCATAGTTATTTAAATGTACAGATGTGATAGGCAAATACATATGGCTGACTATACTTGTGAATGTAAGCTTATTTAGAAATACAGTCTCTGAGCCAGGCATGGTGACACATGCCTTTAATCCTAGCACTCAGGAGGCTGAGGCAGGTGGATCTCTGCATTCAAGGTCAGCCTGGTCTACATAGTGAGTTCCAGGCCAGCTGGGTCTACTGGGAGACCCTGTCTCAAAAAGACCAAAAAATAAGTAAATAAATAAATAAATAAATACAGCCTCTGAAGATATAATAAAGTTAAGATGATACCATAAAGGCAGAACCCAATCAAATATGATTAGTGTCTGTAGTGGTTTGAATGAGAAACTCTCCCAATGGCTCCAAGCATTTGGACATTTTTGTCCCTAGTTGGTGGCATTGTTTTCAGGGGTTTTAGGAGGTATGGCCTTGCTGGAGGAAGTGTGCCACTGAAAGTGGGTTTTGTGAAAGCCTTGCCAGATTTCCAGTAGCTCTCGATTTCCTGTGCCTACTTGAAGATATGATCACTGAGCTTTCTGTTCTGGCCACACCTGCCACCACGCCTCCCCTACCACTATGGATTCTAATCCCGCTGAACTGTAAATCAAATAAACTACAACAATTGGGAGGCAGGCAGATCTCTGTGAGATGGAGTCTAGCCTGGTCTATATAGTGAGTTCCAGACCAGCTGGCACTACAGGGAGATCTTGTCCCAAAAAGACTCCTTCCAATAAATAAATAAATAAATAAATAAATAAATAAATAAATGAATGAATGAATGAAAGAAAGAAAGAAAGAAAGAAAGAAAGAAAGAAAGAAAGAAAGAAAGAAAGAAAGAAAAGGAAGAAGGCATGTACCAAGAGAGACAAAGTCTGGAATGATGCAACTATAGGCCAAGAATGACAATAACTCATGGCCATTACAAATGGACAAGAAGAAAGGATTCTGCTCCAGAGGTTTTGGATGGAGTATGGGGAGGCTAACACTTTGATTTTTGACTTCTAGCTATCAAAACTATAGATAATAAATACCTGTTGTGTGTTTGTGAGGCTTCATTATAAGATACCCTAGAAAACTAATATCATGCAAACTTAAAATATTATGTTTAATCAGGACAAGATAGTATAATCCTAGACCTGGGAGGTAGAGGTAGGAGGATCACAAGTTTGAG